CAGAAGAAGCCACGAATCATTATCGCAAATAGCTATGTCAGATTCGATTACACGAACGGTATAAGTTTAATCACAAGAATAGATATAATGAGAATAATTAAAGCGGCCCCAGTTTAGATAAAGACATTTCTATCACTTCCTCGATGAAACGACGCCGAGTTCTTTGAAGAAGTCTGCTATACTGTCCCTAGAAGTTTGCGCAAACGAGAAAGGTTGTTCCTCGATCGGGGCGAAACTTTATTAATTAAGTACTACTAGTAAAGCTGTCGAAGAGGTTATTTCTGAACTTTAAAGTGGCATCCATTTATATTAATTCATGATGAGAGATCATGAATACAAAACAATTTATTTTCAAGTCTTGTCCAATATAAAATAAAGTATATGAAAAATTATTTCTGCTTTTCGTCGTTTCGATACAATTATTGCAAAATAATTTAATTTAAAAAAATTTAATAACAAACATGCTACAAATAATATTTTAATTTGTCATATCGAATTCTAAATGAACAAAAAAGTTCATGGAAATTCAATGTCCACGGTGAGTTGCATAAAATGTTACTTTATCCGCAGCCATCGCATAGACTTCGCAACGTGTACGTACTCTTACACGCTCAGAATATAATCAATCGATCGACTCTTGCAGATGTTTCCGCGAAAGATGCAAAATATTCTCGACCGAGTTCATTCGACGAATTTAAATTGCGTAGCGCCAGTGGAGTGTCGTAGCAAGATATAAATCGTGATCCGCGATGAGTTTGGATTAAGTGGAGCGGAAATCATTTCGCGACGCGGAATGCCGCTGAATCCGGCGTAATCTCTGGAAAGAATCGTCCTTTTTGCGCGCGCGGCACCGCGCCGGTCTTAATGGAAACTCGGGAGTTTCGCACGGCGTGAAAATAATTACCGGCCACTTTATTCTTATTCGAGCTTCTCCCCTTCCCCGCCACCCGGCGCCGATCTATATACGCAGAGCACCTCTAAAAAGAGATCTCAGCCGGAGTAACGAAGTGCGCCCGAGGGCATTGCCGAGGCGAGCAAACTACGGGTCTCGCGCGAACTTAGCCCGAGCTTACTCGTTTTATTATTGCGAGAAGTTATTTCAAGGTTCGTCATACTTTCCGAGCGCGCGCGAGCGCGGCACGAGGGCGAGATAAAACGATTCCGGGATGGAGTTCCTAGCACAGGTGAACTCTCGAGATTGACGGCGCACCTGCCAGCTACTACGAAGTTCGCGCTTCGAAAGAGTAACACCGTTAGTCACTCGAGCGGCTCGACTCTCGCTCAATTGACCCGATATTATAGCGGAAAGATGACATTTCGGGCCACGTTACGTCGCGAAAATAAGCGAAAATGGGATAAGCCCGCGTGCGAGAGGAGTATAAAATCGTGCGAACCGGCCTTTAATTCCCTTAAATCTTGAAGAACCGACCGGCGCACCCCCCCCCGCCCCCGCGGGGACCGCCGTTGGGAATTGTTTTCTTATTATAGCCGCTATACCTGCGTGTCTCGCAATTTTTCACAGGAGAGTTTTAAGCCAGTCACGGAGTAAAGGAGGTTTTATTAAAAAGCAAGGGTTTCATTACATCGCAATTAATTAAATTCTCATCACAGAGAACGAGAGACGAGAGAAAAATGTGAGAGATTATTTTCTGATATTGCAATAAATGTGTAATCCATTACAAATATTACAAAATCATGAGTTATTTTGTAAAGATTTAATACGTTTGCGACTAAGTGGAGTTGTGAAATTACATGCGCACAAATCGTCTGTTATTTCATTATCGTGCACCTCTCGTTGGAAATATTTTTATCGGGTTTGCTTACGTGGGTGCATATTGCAATTCTGATTAATATCTAGATTAATGTCGGTGAAATTCAATGCAATTCAAATATCAACACAATCAACTTAAATTCAGGCTCAGAAATTGTTGCGAAATTTGTTATTATATTATTGTGTGTTATGCAAATAAAGCATTTCATTGCTAGTCCAATTTCTCGTCGACAAGTTCGGATTAGCTCTCGTGTGCGATTCGCGAATGCCGTCACGCACACGATGCAACGAACGCGACTACAGAGCTAGACTGCTGCGCGACGATTCGGAGAACTCTTGTTGTTCGCGAGTTTTCGAAAGGAAGGAAACATTAAGTCTTCTTCCCCCTCCCCTCCTTTCCCTGTGTTTTAATTACGAAACTAAGTGCGCACTGCCTGACCCGCTTTAAACGCAGTTCCTACCGCTTCGCTGCACTTCCGTGTCACGTGACGGCAAACGATAAACTCGCGAAATCATGACCGTCCCATTATTTCGCGACGCAGACTAGTCGTCCTACATTTGATGTGTCGTGTCGTCGGGAGATTCGAGCTCAGCACAGTAGATTTACACGGAAAGGATGCTTTTAATTAATTGATTTTACTGTTGTCCTGCGCGAGATCGTAACGTTCCTTTTTCCTTTTGTGCGTAATGAGCGAGAAAAGTTAGAGAGAAGAGTAGGGAAAAAAGTAGATCGTTGAGATCTGATTTTAGATCATTAGTGTTCTCCTCTAATGAAGGATGGTACTATGAGACTTATACGTCAATAAATTGATACCGTTGCGCTCGCAAAGTCCTTCTTTGAAGTCTTACGGTGACGCTAGCACGCGCAAACACACACACACACTGATAAAATGGCTCATTATCAAGTATTGACAAGTATACAGATACGAATATCTAAGTATTATATTGGAAGATACGTTTTATTTATTACTTAGCAAAATAAGTAGTTTTTAAATGCTTTTGTCAAAATGAAAATTTGTATGCATAATACTTTCATTAATAAAATTCATCTAAATAAGTTTAATTTTATGTTATTTTTCACTTTATTGATACAAGAAATAAACAGATGACATTTTATTACGATGTCATTTTTAATAATCGGATTTTCTCGATATCTTGACTAGCTAATAAAGGATTTATTGCAATATACAATCATTAAAAAAGAATTTTAATAATTTGAAACCTTTTAAACATAAAATTAAATTCATAACTATACTTATTAACATGTACAGCTATATTTTTATGATTTATTTAAATTGTATGAAGCATTGGATGATTTTCTACGATGAGCAAAAACTCGAGTGACAAATAAAGAGCATTATAATTCATTGCAAAATGGATTTATCGCAATTCAGCGCGATTTATACATTGCGTGTATAAAATGCACTCCATTGTCGAATAAATTTGTACAATCTCCTGATTCGCGAGAATTACCCTCTTCTACTCAGGTCTCCCGTGTAATAAAAATCATAATCGCTTAAATTTACGAGTGGACGCGAAAATATCCCGATGAGACTCCGCACAGTTCGAAATACACGGCGTTAGAACTCTCGCATTTAAATATCATAATGCCTCGTAAATCCTCGCAGTTATTAGCGGGGGAGATTTTATATTGTGCGCGCGCGCGCGCAATGCACGACATGAAAACGAGTAATCTCGAAAAATGTAACAGCGCGAACAAGAGTTCGGTAAAATGTATTCGTGGCTGGAGACATTAAGGTACCAGTCGCAGTCCGAAAGACATTAACAAAAAGTCGAAATGAACTAGAATCACGCATAAACATAGTAATGGCTACTTTGCATTTTCCAAATGTAACTCCATATGGTGATGACAACTTTCGTAATATTATTTGATTAGAGAATATTGTAAACTCCTTCCTCCGGCTGAGCGGAGAACCAATGGCCTAACTTTAAATTAAATGTATTACATTTACTCGTTGCGCGATGGGATAACTGAGAAATATGACAGTTGTGTTTTCATAATCGAAATAGAGGACAATGCTACTGGAAAATCTACTGTAACACGCAAATGCATGCGACAATCGCGTGCTGAAACCAAAGGTTGCAAACTCAATTAAATTATTTAAAATTAAGTAAATAATTTAAAATACCACAATAAATTTTAAATTAAATTAATATTATTATTTTAAAATAAAAAGACGAAATTTCATATTCAGTAATTTAAAAATGTAAATTGTATAACAAAATGTGTGTTGTAACGTGCACATTTACGTAATTAATAATTATACATTCACGTAACACATGTCATAAATATGTAGAGAAATTTTGTTTTTGTGCAAAAAAAATAAGATCTACCAGATTGAAATTAGAAACAACAATGTCTAAACTTTCAATTTTCTGCAGAATATGAAAAGATATAAATCTGTTGTTACGCGAAAAAAGCATTGCTTTATTAGATAAATCCTCATACGCTAAGCAATGGTACTATTTCAAATCCAAACAAATTCCTGCTTTTCGAGTTCAGGTATACTCAACTAATTTTGTTAGCAAAAAAAAATATCCGCACGTTTTTCGCACACCGTAGTATCAGTGCGACGCCCGTTTTATTCCGCTTTCGTACCCACCCACAAATCATTTACGTCGCTCGTTACTACACGCAAAAGTTATGCTCACGGTACAAGCGCGTACGAGCGGCCGGCGATTTATTTCGCGCAATCTCGGGGCAACGAGAAAAAATAGCGCGTCTCTCGCGCGGGCATATAACATCGGGTACCGACGCAACTCGGAAAAAGACAAATCCGTGATGTGAAGTCACGCGACTGTAACGGTGTGATTAAATTACATGGCCTGTTTAAAGGATAAGGCCCGCTGGACTTTATCTGACTTACTTATCGAAAGCACAAGGCGCGCGTTCAAAGGCGCTCGTTAAAAAGCGGCCAAGCTTCGTAGCTGCGAGCGCACTTCGGTTTCTTGATTTATTCTAAATTTGCATACTCTGCGCGCCCACACGTCGCAAATGCATAATTTAGGAAATAACGACACGCAGACACCCGCGCCCGGAGAGCGGAATTACGTTTCCGTTATTGCCCGAAACGCGGCACGCAGAGTACGCATTCCGGTGGTCGTAAATCTTAGCGGCGTGCCATTATATAACGGAGAAAGTCGCTAGTATTGCATCTATCATTGTAATGCAATATATTGAATAAAAATTATTTTAACTTACTTTTTCCTTTAACTTGATTTTCAAATTAAATAATTTTCCAAAAATTCTCCAGCCGATGTTCGTTGCTCCGCCTCTCCTTACTGCATTCAAGTTGACATCCAGTTGAAGACTACTTGATTTTCATGCTTCAGTAGGAGAATATGTTTACGATTATATGAAATTTTTAATAATACTTGCCCGACACATTTCATTTTCGGCACTCCCGAATTGCGACACTCCCAATTTTCGACATTCGCACAATTTTCGACACTCGTAATTATCGATATTTACACTTCCGGATTTCGACATTCCCGATTGTTGGCAATTCCGATTTTCGGCACTCCCGATATTCACTCGCCATTCGTATTCACTTACTCTTCAGACTCGATCGAATGCATCTCCGCGGGCCGCAGAACCTTTAACACATGATGACAACAATTATACGATGTCATTATACGCATATGATGTGAATGGACGAAAGAAATTTGGACGATCGTGCATCGGGAAACAATAGCGACACGTTATGAATATCGAGATATGGTTAATTACAATTGCGTATTACTAATTATTACACCACCGCGATCATTGTCCGCAATATATGATGCGAAAAAGAAAGAGATTCATACGCCACTACCGACGCGAGTGAAATACGTGAGACTAGCGGCGCGTGCCTGACTTCCAAGTACGCTGCTGTCCGCTCTGACCTTCGATGGACTGTTAAACCGTCGACTAGGATAAATGAATAAACAACTTCGAAACACGCAAATAATTTCACAGCGCGGCGTGTGATATTACACACTCTCGAAACTCTATAATTATCAATTTTATATTTATTTCAAGATCAATATCGCATCAATGTCCCACTGATATTGAAAATATGTAACTAATTACAAAACACGGCGCGTGATACGATACGGTATGTGGCGTACGTAGTATATTATTATAACCGAAATTCTCTATTTTTATTTCGATTCTTAATTCTCTATCATTTATTTCGATATTCGTCACAGTTAAATATACATATAATTATAGCATTTGATTGATTATTGATTACATTATAGATACATGATATGTGTTATATTAATCTTTTAGCTGTGAACATCACGTATGTATATCCGAGGAGATATTTGTCATAAAAGCAAGTATATAAAATGTTATAAAGATTGTAAAACGGATACGTTTAATTACGATCGCGAGCAATATTAATTTATGCTATTGCCGTGATTATTGCCTGTAATGTTTAATGTGGGAGAGTATTTATTCGACACGCGTAATATATTACGTGAGAAATCAATACGTAGATAAATAAAAAACCCACCTTAATATTGTATATTATATAGTATATTCTATTCGCTGTTGATGTTTTACACGTAAAAGCTGCTCTTCCAACTCGACCAAACACATCTTCGCCGGCCGCAGAACCTTTAACACATGATAACAACAATTATGCAACATCATTATATGCATAGCGTATGATAGCGTGAATGGACGAAAGAAATTTGAACGGTCGTGCATCAAGAAACAATAGTGACACGTTATGAGTATCGAAATACGGTTAATTACGACTGCGTACTACTAATTATTACACTACTGCGATCATTTAAACAAAATTCAGAAATTGCTATTAAATATTGAACACACATGAAAATACAACAATATAAACGCGCAATGTTAAATTCGGCACTCTTAAAATTTATTTTCATCCACGACTTACTTTTTACGAATAAAATAATCGAGAAAAATACAAAACAATTTCACATCGAACGCTGACAATTCGTGGCGCGAGCGCACTTCGGTTTCTTGATTTATTCTAAATTTGCATATCCTGCGCGCGCTCGCACATCGCAAATGCATAATTTAGGAAAAAACGGCACGCAGACATCCGCGCCCGGAGAACGGAATTACATTTCGGCGTTTCCGTTGTTGCCCAAAACGCGGCACGCAGAGTACGCGTTCCGGTGGTCACAAATCTTAGCGGCATATCATTATATAACGGAGAAAGTCACTAGTATTACATCTATCATTATAATTCAATATATTGAATAAAAATTATATTAATTTAATTTTCAAAAAATTATGGTCAAGAAAAATTTTTGAAGTGTATGTCAAAGTGCTAAAATGTTCACCCCTGTTGAGCTGCCCCCCCCCCACCTTGGGGGGTACTCGAGGTAAAATGTTCATATATAAGATCAATTAAAAGAATAAATAATATTCAAGTAATGAAAAGAAAAAATTGAATTTACTCACCAGGCGATGTTCGTTGCTCAGTCTCGCCAGCTTCTGCATTCAAGTTGATATCCAGTTGAGGACTGCTTGATTTTCACGCTGCAGTTGGAGAACATGTTTAATTATGATTACATGAAATTTTTAATAATATTCGCCCGACACATTTAATTTTCGGCCCTCCCGGATTACGACACTCCCAATTGTTGGCAATTCCAATTTTCGACACTCGCGATATTCACTCGCCATTCGTATTCACTTACTCTTCAGCCTCGATCAAATGCATCTCCGCCGGCCGCAGAACCTTTAACACATGATGACAACAATTATACATCATTATATGCATAGCATATGATGTGAAATGGTCGAAGAAAATTTGGACGGTCGTTCATCGGGAAGCAACAGCGACACATTATGAGTATCGAGATACGGTTAATTACGACTGTGTATTACTTATTATTACACTACCGCAATTATTGTCCGCAGAATATAATGAAAAAAGGAAAGAAATGCATACGCCATCACCGACGCGAGTGAAATATGTGAGACTAGAAGCGCGTGCCCGACTTCCAAGTACGCTGCTGTCCGCTCTGACCTTCGATGTGTCGTTAAACCGTTTACTGGGGTAAACAATGAATACACAACATCGAAACACGCAAATAATTACACAGCGCGGCGCGTGATATTATACACTCTCGAAACTCTATAGTTATCAATACTTACATTTATTTCAAGATCAATATAAATAGTCCCACTGATATTGTTCTAAGGCTTAGAACAAAATATAGCGAACAAACATAAGTGGGGACGGCGAGATAGTGGGGGCCGAGTTTCCATCCAGCGGACTCTGAAGACTGCTCGCGAGCAAGCTTTTGGCCAGACCTGGATTACATTATAGATACATGATATGTATTAATCTTTTAGCTGTGAATATCGCGTATGTATATCCAAGGAGACATTTGTCATAAAAGCAAGTATGTAAAATGTTATGAAGATTGGAGGACGGATACGTTTAATTATGATCGCGAGCAATATTAATTTATGCTATCGTGATTATTGCCTGTAATGTTTAATGTGAGATATTTATTCGACACGCGTAATATACTACGTGAGAAATCAATACGTGAGATAAATAAAAAACCTAACCTCACCTTAATATTATGGTGTTTTGTATTCGCAATTCACGTTTTGCACATAAAAACTGCGAATCGTTCAAACGAAATTCAGGAACTGCTATTAAATATTGAACAAAGCATGAGAATCACAACAATACGAACGCGCGATATTAAATTCGGACCTCTTAAAATTTACTATCATCCCCGACTTACTTTTTGCGAATAAAATCATCGAAAAACATACGCGAAACAATTTCACATTAGACGCTAACGATTCGCGGCGCGACATTGCGGCTAGCATATGAACTATTTATTATAATCGCGCGAGGCGACCATAGACGGAGGCGACATATTACGGCTATTGTGTGAACTATTCGTAATGACGATCATAAAATACCGAAACTTTCAAATCCTAAAATATTGTCGTATTAACTGCTGCAGTGATCGCTAGACATTAAAATGTTGTTCAATATTTCGATGTGGGAAAAAGGGAAATTATTTTTTTTTTTTTTTTTTTATTTTATAGCTCATACATTTATATCATATAAAGATCTTATCATCAACAATGCGATGCGAAATAGATACTGCAACTCTGTATTTTACGCAGCATTGTTCGATAGAGAGTCAAATATCATGACGAATGCTAAAGATATATAGCTAAATACGGTAATCCGGTATACGCTGTCCATCAGTCTCGATACTTATTTTCAATTGCAAGTGACTTTTTATGGGCAAAATTACGAAAAATACGCAATGCGATTACAGTACGTCCGGAAGCTAGCTATTCACGACACAAAATAGCGATTAGGGTGTGAAGTGTGAAGTGATCGTTGATCGCGATCATCGTGATTCGATAGCGCCGAAATCAAACCGTTGCGAAATGCGTTGTCAACTTTCTTTGGTATGTTCGTAAATTATTCTTTCACAGAAAATGTACTTTCTTGTGATTGATATAAAATAAATATCGCAATTTTTTGACCAGGCTTTATTACTCTATATCTCATTGTTCTATGGAGTTTCGAATATTGTTAGGAATATTTTATTTCGAAATTTCGTAAACCTCTTTCACGAGATTTTATTAAATTTTTGCAAATAATTCCAATGTTTTTAAAGCGAGATTTCGCGTGTGCCCGAAACAAACGCACGCCGTCGCGAAACGTGTAACGTGCAATGTAAACATTTGTATTCTATAGTCTTGATAAAATGTTCCTATGAAAATTGCCATATATTATTTTTATGTCTTGAAATCAATGTAATGGAAACGTAAACTTTGCGGCAAACGCGCGGTAATTCACTGTAAACTGCGCGCTTTTACAAATTCGTTCATGCGACACGCAAGTTTCGCGCATCAATAATTCTTTACATAGAGTGAAAAATATCCAATCTCACTTACTACACAACCATGCATATCCGACTGTGGGCACTTTTACGAGGCGGATGAATAACGTGATACCTTAAAATGAACTTCTGATTGAGCCGTGACCCAGATGGACTGAAAATGTGTCGAATGACGACAAAGTTCAAGATAAGACCAGGCTTTATTACTCGTAACGAATAATTACTCAGTAAAGGACGCGAAAAAAAAATACGGCTGTGAGAAAATGTGAAGTAGAGTAATTAGGTTTTCGCGACCTTATTTTGCTAGAACCAACTGTGAGATACAAATATAAATGGAAAAGATAAATCAGGACGAGTTACCATCTCTGAAACAGGAATTTGTCGGTATCAAAAATTAAAATCAAAATTTAATTTGTACGTTTTTCAAATATGTATAATATTAATCAAAACATTTTTTAAATAAAATTAATATGAATAAATACACATACATATATGTGTGTGTGTGTATATATCCGCAATATCTATTCCGACTTCTTAAATTCATGGAATTAATTTGCAACTTTGTGAGACATATATCATAAATTTCTGACAGAGAGAGAAATTATTTAATTAAATTTAATACATCCGATATATATCTTTAATCGTTAATCGTTTGAAAATTGTCGCACAATATTTTCGTTGAAAAAAATTGTTTCCAAATCGGTTAAACGATCTGTAGTGAAAATAACCAATAGTTTTGTGACAGAAATTCCCCGTGTGTGTTCGTAAGTAAAACTAGATAGAAAATTAAAAAATAGATAGAGGAAAACTAGATAGAAAATATTCGTTATAAAAAATAATAGTCATATATTTGAATTGCATTCTAGTTATTGCTTTTCTTAACATCTCGCGTTTGAATGTAACTCATCAATTTTTTCAAGTTTAGATATAGCCCAATAAAAAGATAAATTTTCTGTCGGTGTAAAAAAGAAGCCAGAACAGGAACACGACTAAATATTCCATTTCCAAGCCCGTAAAAAAATTTCCTGTCTCTTCGTTCGGTTCGTCGAGCCGAAGCTACGAAGCCGAACCGAAGGCGTCGAGCACAAATTGCGATGAACTCGAAATAAGATCGTAACTTTTACCGTCCACTTCCACGGAGGTGGAAAACGATCCTCCCTTGCTATTGCGAAGGTCATTCGCCCGGTGCCCCAGAGCGATCTAAATATTCAGACCGCTGGGTAACGGCGGCGAAACGGCGGTCTGGAATCTCTCCTCCGTCTCTCTCTCTTTCTCTCTTTCCGTCAGGAAATTGCAACAAAATGCAGAAGAAAAGGTGGTAGCGAACCGAGTTCCTTTAAATACCTTAATCCAGAAGCATCGATGCGATTCGTGTGCAAATCCTTTGGGTCACGTGCGAGCAGCGTGCAACCGGCATCGAGGAAGCCGGCGCGAAAAGTAATTTCACCGTCCGACACGTTCCGGAAAAAGGCGCGGCCGCGAAGATTATTTTGTGACGATCGATACGTTCGTAACGCGAGAAATATGTGCCCGCTGGAGGTATCGTTATTCCTCCTCCATCATCGGGCGTTTTATGATACGGCTGCGGCCGCTGCAGCTGTTACAATATCTATCGGTACTTTGGTATCGATAACTCTTTGTATATGCCATTCTTTTTCGCGGCCACCGCGCAAACCATTTTCCAGCGTAATGAATTCCGGCATTCGCTACCGAGCGAAGAGTTTGAAGCAATAACACGCTAAGTTACACACAATGCCTAAATTGGCGAAGAAACGATTGAAATGTTATTTTCCTGTGAGAATGCAACCGAGTTATCCTCTCGCAATCTATCGCAATTATTCCATTGCACCTGTCGTAAATCTACGGCTGCGGGCGCGATCGTAATAACGCGAGTAATCATCCATGTCGAATGACGTCAAGTGACGAAGGATGCAATTACTGAAAGCCGGTCTGAAAAAAGGGCAGCGACATGAACTCACCGCCGGCGACAAATCCAGCTTTTCCTCAACTCACTGAAAACGAATGGCCCGCAATTTGCTGAACGGCTAGTCGTCTATAAATCGATGAAAATTGTCTGAGTTATACTTCAAATCCACTCGCGAGTAATCTCACTTCGCCGAATGTTTTTCTTTCTATTGAATATAATTTGCTATCCTGCTTCCGAGAGTCCCTTTTTCGTACGATGTTTTAGTTTCGTTAAATAAGTCAGCACTTGCGAATTAATGAGAATGTGTTTCTACAGAAAATATTTCTATAACAACTTAATGCAAGAATAATCAATATTACCTTTAGAACAAAATAAGATGTGCTGTGTAATGAGCTCAAGTAACAAAAACAATCTTGGATTCCACGACTGAAAATTAAGTGATTATAATTCAGACTTGGTTTTCCTAACAAAATTGCTAAATCTCCCACGAAAGATTGTACTTATTAGAGTTTATTGTACATTATTTGTCTCGTATTAAGCCACAAATTTCTGCGAAATTTTGTCTGCAATTTGTCGCGAATATTATAATTTAATACGCTATTAAATGATGAGACATTTGTGATTTATAATACTCTTCTTAGACGTGTTGCAGAAATTGTAACAAATTATTTGCAAGAATAATCATCACACGTGTACGTAATGTATGATATGTAAGTGAACAAAGTCCAAACAAGAACCTTGCAACATCTCCACGTAATGCACCTCTTGAGAAACGTGCAAACTACGACGGTTGTGCCGTGTTTAACATTTACACGCGATTCCACAATAGCAAGGAACAAGATACAAGTGAACAGCGTCTTAACTGCATGACAGTGCATACGAAACTTAATCTTTATCTTAATAATCTTTCTTCCCGGTCTTGAGTGCACACTTCGGCATTCTTGAGAAAACATCCGCTGCTCGTTATCTCCAGCGAATGACGCCGCGCGCGAATTCACTTCGCAACCAACAAAGGGACGTTTCTTGATATCTCGCGCCCGCTTCAGCGAGCACTTGCTTTAATTAATTTCGTAGCAGCAACTAAGACCGAAGAGCTTATAACGAGCTTTTCCATGCACTCCGGGGAGTCCTTCTCTTTGGCTTTCCCAGAACTCGCCCCTTATATATCATCGCAGCTGTCTTCGTATATCGAGATTCGAGCAAGCATCCACTACACACCGACATACTCGTACACACACATACGCACTGCTTTACGGATCACATTGTTAGAGCTCTACGAGCATGAGACTGCTGCACCTGAGGCGTATCTCAGTGGAAAGCTAATGAAGTGCAAAGTTTTCCACGTAGACTATAAGCTTTTGCTCGCTCGCTGCGATGTGTCCGCGTTAATTAGAAGGGTTACAATCCACCATTTCCATTCGAATGCGTTGACATCAAACTAACTCAAATCGCTCCGCTTTACTACCCTGCGAAGTCTCAACATTAAAATCAAAAAATGCAAAGATTGAAGTCATTTATAAAATATCCATCGCAATCCTAAATGCCAAAAGCCAAACTTAAAATGTTTAAAATTCTAATAATTTCCTTTTTTATTTAAAATCGATTAATAATGTAAATGACAGATAGTATTATAATATTTCAATTATTCGATAAACACATTTTAATTAAATTATATTAAAGATTTTTAATGTGCTGAATTATTCATTTATTCACTTTAAACGTGAAAAAATTATTGTAAAAAATACCAGCTCCAAATTTTCATTACGAAAAAGTTTGCGACATATTGTTCGAGGGTCTTACGAAGCACGACGAAATGTGTACCAGTTTTTACACGATATCTATATGTATCTAATCTTGCGAAGATGCCAAGCTGAAAACGCCGGCGTCTTAAAGTTCAACACTCGGTATTCCGAGAGACAAGATATTACTATATCGCGACTCATCGCTATTGTCTCCAAAATGGCAGTGCCATTATCATCCACGTGATGTATTATAGGAAAAACACTGAAGAAAGATTTATCGTAGAAGGAAGTGAAGTCCTTCACTTACGTATACAACGTATTCTCTACCTAATTCACTCTTAAGCTGACGCATAATGAGCTCTGATCTAATCTAATTCCGTCCAATCTCCCTCCGGCTATAGCTACACCCCGCAGCTATTACGCTTCTCTGATTACTAAACTATAGATACTTTGTGTATGCGCTTAGTTGTTGGAATTACTCGCCCTTACTACCCCCGCACATTGAAAAGACGCAGTCGATCGTGCGCCTCTTACAGTTATCTACGAATAATTTGAATTGTGATACCCGAAGGTTCATTTGAATGTCTAGACTGGTTAATTTCTTACAATGGAATAACATGATATCAAGGATATCAGGATTAACATTGAAAACACAATATTTGACTTTTTGCAGTTTTATACAAAAGAGATTCGATGTAGTTATTTATGATAATATTTCTCAGTTTTTGAATTGAAGCAATTCATAATTACAAAATTAAAGAATTATATTTCTTTAGATAACAAAAATTAATTGTTACACTCGTCTCATAGCATTAAAAGAAGGAAAATATTTCATATTGGCTTGTTTGTTGAAATTTCGACCACAAAAAATTAAAATTTAATAACCATTATGTATATTTCATTGTATTTAAATCATATTAATAAAATGGAGGAATAATAAGAAAAGAATATATAAGTTACAATGGTCCAAATATAAAGTTTGCACGGTACAGTGCAAGATATATCTTTCACCATTAAATCCGGAATATGCAGTAGAGTTAGTTTCAAACACTAAACAAACACTTCTGCTGCTTCGAGACATATATCGACCGTTCCTGAGTGCATTTCTAACTCAACAACTTGCAATGCACAAAGTGCACGAGTGCTACGGAGCATTTTGCAGTATCTGAGAGCAGCGAATACCGACGTCGCAGACCTTCTCTGAATGATCCTATTAAATTTTCTCCGCGGTCGATCGCGTTGCGTCAATTAAATTATAGAGCGTGTGTTGAAAATTATTTCGTGCGCATATTGATACGTGAGGAAATATATCGATACATGCGATAGTGGCCGAATGTGGCGACAATAAATAAGCGAAATTAAAAGCCTCGAATGAAACGCCAATCGTTTTTTATTCCGCGCAACACTTCGATCGTCGCGTGCGATATCAAATCGTTTCTACCTACATTTAGCACCAGCGAGTATTGAAATAGCCGAAATCGATGGAAAAGCGATTTTTAAGGTATGAAAAGATTGAACAGTTGCTATTGGAACTTGAGCGATTAGTTCGAGATTAAATGCGCTCTCGAGAGTATTGCGCATTTCAAAGAGTTTCAATGTTTACGGACGTCGGCATTATAGAGTTTTATCGCTCGTGCGTTTAATGGCTACCATTAGAGTTTTTAATTAACCGGAAATTTCGCAAATTGCTCGTTTGTTCATGAAATTTGATTAAAAACAAATTTATTAAACAGAAAGTAATTAAAAATATAAATAAAAGTTTAAATATTAACACAAATTGCAATTCTACAATGAAAAATGCCAATTTATATAATAAAAACCAAAGAGCTTGAATAATATTTGTTTCTTTTGCGACAACAGTCTTAGATTTGATCAAGTATAATAAAAATCGATCGGTAAAATATGTGAAATTTATATGTTCGCATTTTCGCGGACTATAATGTAACATTAATCATTCAAGACGTGTACTATGACTTCTGAATACTCAATCAAGGAATTTCTCTCGTTACAGACACACTGAGTCTAGGAGATCGGACGATAGATAACATGGACAGACACGCGATGCAGCCCAGACCTCGACAACAATTGCTGGATCATTCTTCCGGCCAGAAGTCGAAACAGGAACCCACCTTCGACTTCTCGCAGAGCACCAACGTGACGGCTCTGATCGGAAAAACTGCATACCTCACGTGCCGAGTTCGCCATCTGGGCGACAAGACTGTAAGAACTTTTTGTACTACCTATATCACGTATTACACATTCGTGAATTATAAAATATGAAACAAAGATATCATCTAACTATAACAGTCACGCTGATATTTCACAATCGTGAATTGTAGCGACCCGATATTTCCATCTTCCTAATTGGAAAATGTGGGAATATTAATTATACTACCTACACCTCCATTTTTTATTCTAAAAATCACACCTTCGTGCTTGTAAATTATTACTTTAATAATACTAAAATTTATATTTTTAATAAAGTTAATATTATTGATTAAATTAATTAATTAATTAATTAAATTAAGATTGATAACACTTGTAAAAACTCTAAAAGTGGAAAAATCGTTAGTTCGATAAGTTTTATAAGTTTGAAACGATGATATTTTAGTTGTGCGCAATTGAACAAGAACTTTTCAATTATAAAAGTGCCATTAGATGCGAAATAATTAATCAAATGCTAATACTCGCCCACTCTCAAAGTACGACATCTATCTTTGCCGTATATATTCAATTTAAACCTACGGGGATACTCTTATACTAGCAGTTCCTTTCTTCCTCTCACTCCTCTTTCACGATGGTAAAAGAGAGGTCCGGTCCCCGTAAGAATCTTAGAGAAGCGATTTGCAGGAAATAATCGAGTTGCACGAGGTCGATTGGACGTTAATTGACCTTAGAGGTAACTGGAAACTCAATTTTATCGGAGACGCAGTACTACCATTACGATCTCTATTGAAAGGAACGATCAGAGCTGTTAGCTAGTCGAATTGATCGATTTTGTGCAGATCATTATCGACATAATCTTTCACAATCGTGCACCCTCGTCCTCTTTAGAATGTACTCAATTTCATCAGCTCAATTTTTTTTCAACTAAATGCGTCTGTTGAATATCCCATGACAGCGATCCCTGCATTCACCTCCATTTTTCAGTATTTTTCTTGATACAAGCTAGGGATTCGGTTACTCTGTTGTAACGATGACAATAAAGATCCTCGAATAACAGTAACCTGACATTCAAGACGGGTTTATAAAGCGATTAAAAATACTGCGAAGAAAATGCTTGACAAAATCTCACAATTTAAATTATTCGATAGTACAACTGAACAATAAAACTTTCCTTCATGTTTTACTTCAAGTACTTTCTACTTTAACGATGTTTTCGAAAATTTCTCTGCCGTAACTATGGAGATGTTTAATATTGCAGATTACAAATTTGATAGCAGTGGCGCTTTATTAAATTTTCATCAAAACTAAATTCATACTATTATCATAAATGTAGATGCAAAATGCAAATGCAATCGGGATATTTTAGAAACTGTTTTATCTGAAAATGCATTTTATTGTTTCCAATTCTAATGGAATAATTAAAACTATACCGGGTTTAATTAAAATGTCTGCAAAAACGTTGGACGCGATATTATATCGAAGAAAGAAAGTGACTTTGCATTCCCTTTATAGTTGTTTCGCGGTGTTGCGTGGATAATTGCGTTTAATAATAGATCGGGACTTTGCTCAAAAATTTTTCCGCGTTTCTGGTTGCTTTCTCACAAAGCAATTTAATTATTCGTGCGCTAGTGGTTAAGCTATCTCACGCGAAAGCCGATTTACGAGTTGGTTAGTTGCCTAAGGCTGCTTGTTACAAAGCCAATAAGTAAGTATTACTGAAGTAAGCATAAGTAAGCATTGCTAAATCATTCAATGTCTACAAGATACAGCAACTCTCTCATGTTCTCCAAATCTCATGAATTTTGATATTTTAATATTTATTTCATAAATTAATCCAAGTAGGAGAGTAAATAATCTTGTTAGATTTTGTGTCAACAAACTAGTTCAAATATTATGAAATAAAATAAAAGTTATATAATTCAACAGTTTATTTCTGCATTCTTGCAAAGAAAAAAGTTCGATAAATTATGTATTGTAAGATACTTTTGAGAATACGGACATATCGAACACAATTACTTGCTTTCTAAAAAGCTAATGTATTAAATTAATTGAGGATACAAAGTAATATATTTTACACGCGGATAAAACTTCTATCTCTTCTACTCGTTTCCAACAGCGTACGCATCACTAAATCATAATGCCTCTAAATCACAATGTCGGAAAAGTCGTGCGTGCAAAATACCCGCGTCGAAATAATTTATCGCTGCCGTCCGTCAACCATCCATCCCGAAAGTTATCGCCGGAGCGACGAGTAAAACCGTAACATTGGAATTCGCGGTAACGCTAAGTTCGACGCATATTAACGCCGGGTTTTCGCGCAGAGCGCGCGTCCCCGATACTGGAAATTTTAACCTCAGGGAGGCGAGAGGAGTGGTCTTTCGAAGTGAGGCTTGTTCGTCGATATTTTCACTGGGTCCGACCTCGTATATAAACTGGGCGGGACCGGAAATGTGTCGGTGCATCCGTTTCGTTCACACACACGCGCGTGCCCACATACGCGCCCGCTGCTGGCATCACTTAGCGTATTTACTCGGCAAAGTTTACGTCTCTCGCGGCGTCTGGCGAGCGGTAGCTATTGCGCGAGGAACAAAAGCAGTTTAGCGCTTCCTAACTTATCCAGCGGGACGAATGGGGCGACTCGCGGACGCGCGGGCGCGGGATGGAAAGCGAGCGGGAGCGGGCGCTCGGGCGAAACTGCAAGAAAACGTCGGGAATGATGAATGTCGAACGTTACGTGAAACTAGCACGGACATAACAGGAATGTGGCAAATGGTTTCTCGTATTGTCTGCAAGGTGAATTTAAGCATGCGTACCTCTTGCATGCAGAAACAGTATAAAGGAGAAAGCGCTTTCAATCAAATTTAGTTCAACTCAATTTAAATTATTATATATTATTACATTTTTAGATTGTAAAAAACTTTGCTATATAGAATGTAGGCACTTATTACTTAATTAAAAATTTATCAACTTCACTAATTATATTTACACTTTAAGTTAAAAATGTGGTCATTGATTATAATCCTTAAGTAACACTCTCAATACTGTGTATGCCACAAAATACAATACCTCTATGTTTTATCAATCAATATTTCTATAATTGAAGTATTGTCAGCAAAGTTAGCAATCATTACGTAAATGTTGCGCGGAAATTGAAGCATTACATATCTTTCGTATTTTCGATAATAATAAAGAGTGAAAGGCAATTGTCTTCGAATTGGTGCCGTTTTGTCTGATCCATTTTATATACACGCGCCGCGAGTAAACTTCATATTTCACTGCTCTGTTTTCGCAACCCTCTCTTTTTCACGAGCGCTCCCGGTTGCCGAGCACACGGTATATCGATCCTGTTAGCCGATTATTTTCCTGGTACTATTCGTCCCGCGGTACTCGGTCGTATATTTACGGCTTCAGTAAAATATCTTTTTCTCTTGTCATGTAAATGTTAACCGCCGCCGGTGCGCTGCGACATCAGCGCGATGATTGGTAACGCACGCGTGTCGAGGGACGCCCAGTGACATGCGTCAGGATGCATTTTCAGCCTCGATGATGCCAACAACGTCCTTTATTTTCGCACGGTAATTTACTCGAAATAATTTCTTTAGTTATTTTATAAAAATAACCGTTAATTTATTAAAATTAAATTGTCAAAATCTTGATTATTTTACTTTAATTTTTAAAAATTTTAATGAGTTTAATGTAATATTGCAAATACTATTGTCTTTAAATCAACAGATATTTTTTTAACCAAAGTAAAATAACTAGAGTTTTGGTTATTAAAATCACTTTGTTATTTAGTTTGCAATTTGAATAATAAAGAAGTAAGATTTTGAGCACGACATTGTAAGGCGCGTAAAATTATTGACAGAAAAATTTTCGGCACGCAACATCAATTTTTATATTAATGAGTTTAAAATAGTTTATATAAATAATTTGATCATTTTCCGTAGTAATGTAATATATTTCTGTTATTCCAATATTTTGCGGATTATTCTTTGCATTTTTTTATATTTATATGACTGACGTTGCGTGGAATTTGATTCTATTTTTTTCTGCAGATAATCTTGCTATCACGCTAATCAGACGAGCATTTGTGTCATGAAATACGATTAAAAGCTTTTCTTTTTGATATCGCGCCGCACCAAGTACGCATCGGGATTTAATCCATCGACGTTGAATGGAGATAATTTCGGCATTGTTCGCTTTCTGTGAACATTCGATTGCACGCTTTTCTATGCTTCCTAGATGTCAAAAATATGAAATACAATATACGAGTACGTGCGGTATCTGCACATTTATGAGATATACGATTTACTCGTATTTACGGTATAGGATTAATTCAAAGAGAATTACATAGATAGCTTTAAATTTCATATAGACAATTTTGTTATCAAAAAGCTCTATGAGGTATTTTTCCGTAAATTTACACAATCTAAAAATTAAAATCTATATTAATAAGGTTGTTTTATGTAAGATTTTTATGTAACAATTATTTATAATCTTTTATTTAATTAAATTTTTATACAATTTTTGTTGAAAATTTATTGCTCGAGATGTTTGAATAGAAATTTAAATAGCAAGTAATTGTATTCGATATGTCCATATTCCCAAAAGTATCTTACGATACATAATTTACCGAACTTTTTTCTTTACAATGCAAAAATAAACTGCTAAATTGTATAATTAATTATATAAACGAAAATGTACGCTTCTTAAACATTGCGAAGAAATTTGTTTTTACTATAAACACGCTAAGCATTAACATATCGAATTGCATACGCCTGTGACGTAACTGTCAAATAAAGAGAACGCAGCTCCTAAGATAATATTACTTCTGAAGAATTCCGAGAGGATTTCGAATGTAAGGAAACGCCTGGATCGCTTCGTTCCACGGAATCCTTTTATTTCCCGTTCGAAGACTTCCCCTGAAAATCGTTGAAGACTCTCAAGGAGTCCCGCACCGACACCATCGCGCATTCGTGAGAATCTGCTTTGCGTGCACCGGCGTGGCGGAAGAAGCGCCGAAACTCTCCCCGAGAAAAGTTTCTGTATTCCTTCACAACTTTTCTTACCGTTTCGGTACGGGTCGGTAGTTTTCGGCGTACCACGAGCGCGGAAATAGACGGATCCTCTCGTTCGGTCCTTCCGTTTCGGAATCGCGGTAAAGTTGGTCAGGCACTATACGAGGCACTTCATGACGCCAGGCTCCGACATAGTGCGCGGAGAGCTCAAACTTATCGGGATAACCTTCCATTCCAATGAGTATATTTTTCCTAAAGTAACTTATTCTTGCGGAAAAGACGTTTTGAAGCAACTAATAATTTGCGACCTCTCATTTCTACAAAATCTCATTTCTACGCACTGCTGTTTCGTTATTTCCGTTATTGGATTGATAACGCAAAAAATAATTTCAATAGTTGAAAAATTTACTATTTATAGAATGAGGCAAAACGATTTCTCATATAAAAATAGATGAAAATACACAAAAAAATGTTAACCAGACTTAAAATTTTTTAAGCGAAAAAATGATTTCAGGAAATCAGAATATAATAACTTCTTATTTCTTTCTCAAACAATTTTTGCTTCAATAATTAAGGCTCTTGGTCCCGTAGCCGTGAACTCAGCGTTGACAGTGGCGACATAATTGTGATAGGAATAAAAACCCAGTCGAATTTACCCAGTTGATTTATCGTATAAGTAAATAGTGTAACAGTTTGACCTAATCAATTGATTCGATAAAAGTAAATTACTGAATAATGTAAAATTATCCGAAAACTTAGCAGGGAAAGCCCAACGTAGAAGGAGTATTTTCTACTCATACAGACAGCTGTCAACCGTGTGTTTCCTCGCATAATTAGGCTTCGTTTCACGGTTGATTTAACGATTGTTTATAACCTGTCAAGGAAAAAGCATAATTTTCGGACAATTTTACAGGTGTCTTAAAGCGATCCAGAGTGTTACTTTTTAAATTATCATTTTATTTAGAAATGGCACGTAAGAATTCTCGGCGTGTCATTTCTCGCTTCTGACGTCACGAATCTAATATGGCTACGGTGACTATCCAGGAGCCTTAAATAATAAAAATATATATCATTGTTGAACTCATTTTGAAAACCTAAGCACGAATAAAAAATACAACACCCATTTTAGAAAAAAGTGTTATGTGTGCAAATCACAGATATTAAAAAACTTTATATCAACAATATCATAATGAATGAATCAATTATC